TCGCTCATATATTCGATCCAAAGTCATCCAAGGCGGGAAAAGGCCACATCTGTCATGTCTTTAAAGGCCCACTGTACTACTGGTAGCTACTTGCGCCCTCTATATAACAAACAATGCCTAATCCGTGACCATTGGTCCCCCATGATCCTCTTTTTCTTACGTTAACTGAGAGCTGAGTTGATGAGATAACCACCTGTCCAGTGACCTTGCAGAGCGGTCTAATCCCTCCTCTAAACTACGGCAGATAAGCTTTAAGGAGGGAGACAAACCCAAGACTGGTAATTACCGCCCCATACTCCATAGGAAGCCTGTAAGCTACTGGAGCACATAGTCGTAGTGGCCTTTAAGCTTCCCGTTGATATATAATTCATCTATGTCATTGTTAAGTTCCGACAGGGTCTTTTAGTGTCCGGTAATAGGTTAGCGCATCGTAACCCTTGTATACCAAAGTCAGCAGAATTTGAAATGAGTATTAAAGTTTAAACCCCTCATGAATGATTTTTGACACTGAAAGTCTCTTGGATTTATTTTCTTTTCTAGACAAAGGTATATCAATGTAAAAAGAACAACCCAAATACTAAATAGATATTGTTTAATGGTTTAGGTTTGAAGGTGTTTCCTGCTTTAAAAAAATAATAATAATTGGGGGGGGGGGGCCATTCAGAGAACAGAAGAAGAGGAAAAAATCGGCAACTGCAAGAGACATAATTTGTATTGTAAGGATTTGTTTAAACCAGTGATCGGAAAATAATGTTTTCGAGGGAAATAAGATAGTCAAATATAAGTTATTTAATTGGATATTTAGCTCAATATGGGTTACTTGTATTTTCTTCTGTAAATTAGAAACTGCGCCGGAAGATTCAAATATAATAAGGTATCTGTTTCTGTTAGGTAATACAGTTTTTATGAATTTTATCATTAGGATTTAATCAGGTAGTAATACAAAATGTGAGAATAATGATACACACCGTTTACAATCTCTTCGAATTTTTTGAAGTCGCCATCGGTGAAATCTTGAGGAACGTCATTCCTGTAATGATACCACATATATTGAAATGAACAAGGTGATATAATTTTTTTTAAATAGTGGAACTTTTTATGGCGGTCATGTTCGGCACGTTGATATTCCTGGCGCTTCATTATTATTACTCCCGCATGGCTTTAGCACATTATTAATTTAAATGTTCAAACCCTCATTGCCTTATTTTGTTTGAATAATTATTGTCTTTAGCATTCTGTTAAAAACCCATGAACACTGCTTGTTGTATTGAGGGTTAACATGTTGCAATAAATATGAAAAATCCATTGTGGCTGACATCGGACGGGGCAATCATATACAAAGACAACTATTTTGTTGGGTGACGTTTAATAATCTGGCCTTATAAAAGGCAAGATCCATAAGGCTTGAGTTAGACAACGATTGGATATTGTTCAGAACTTGAAATGTGCAGATATATGAAGAAGGTATAAGGAAATAGAAAAACCATGATATAGAAGATGTGTTGTATGAAACTGTCTTGCCTAGGTTTGGTTTTGATCGGTTTGGTTTTATTTTCCATATAAAAACATGTATACAACAAGAACATGAGAATAATTATAATTACTTTGGAAGATAAACATATAAATTGTTCTATTCAGAACCATCGATTCAATGTCTCTGCTCTTCCTAGAGGTGATAAAGGAACACAGATGAGCTAACGTTTGACTAAAATAATGAGGATGCTTGTTAAAAGAAGGAGTGGAGGGAAGGAGTGCCATGGCGCAAAAGCCAGATGGAAAATGCGGACTTTACTCAGATATGATGACGATGATGATGATTTTTTTTAATTTGAATTGATTTATTTCCTTTCATTGATAGTTTGTTGCATGTCGGTCGGTAAAGCAAATGACAAGTGAAGGCGTAAGGAATTTCGTATCGTGTATAATTTTACGAGCTATGTTATATTGCCACTGCATTAACGGTGTTGCTGATAAGAAACGCATGTCCATAAAAATTACTTTCTATATCTGGGGTCATAAAAAAGCATGCTCTGCAAAAAGAACTTTCGAGAGAAGTAAAGACTTTTTAGTGTGGTAACCGTAATAAGAGAAATTAGGTTTTGCACTATGTTGTAATGATTTTGAAAGGAAGTTGTTTAATATTTTATTCACAGGCAGGCATTAATAACTGTTTCAAACACTTATGATACAAATATCTTGAATATATAGAAATGTAACCACATATACATTTTGCTAATTTTGTTTATGTTCAATATTTTAGCCTTCCACAGGCTATTTATTAATAATCTTCACACAAATAAACTAATCAAATATATGTGCATATTTAAACACATTCAAAAAAATCTTTCTATACAAACAACAATTGTAGCAACTGCCACTTTGCAGCAAAATGTCTTTCCATTCCAGATAGACGTACAATATATTTTTCATCTTTATATATTGTAAAACTTTCTTATCTACATATCAAAAAGCGGAACCATACTATTCAGTTTACAAATAAACATCTGTTGTTCAATTATTATAACAATGCAATTTAGGGCATCGTTTCTTTTATCTTCAAAGCCAAAAATTATATTTTGTAAAGTGAACAAAATTCTAATTTGAGTTCTCTCATAAATCCAGTTTGAGGTTTCATTCCAGACCTTTCTTCTTATCTCACATTTAAAAAAAAAAAAATGTACTATATCTTCTCTTTCATTGTTTACAATTTTCATCCTAAACAATTGTTTATTTTAAAAAAAAATTTATTTAAAAGCTTATACTGAAAGTATTTCAGACTAATAACTGGTGTTAAACGAAATATCAAAACATTGTATGTTTGTATCAATACAGTTGGGAAAATGAAATTTAAATATCGTTACCACTTTTTCAAGTTCAAGTTCAAGTTCAAGTTCAGTTTATTAAATTCCAATAAAATATACAAAACAGAATACAATCATGACAAAATAAGAGTATAAGTCGATCAAGAATACAAAATAAGGTCAAATGATAAAACTATAAAGAGATACATCAGATAACAACATAAGATAGAGCATTATTGGAATTGGGTGGCCATAAAAAAAAAACATGTGGATTTGTCGAGACGACCACCCTCGATGAAGGTAAAATACGTTTCATTCAATATTCAATATAATATAGAAAATTTGAAAGATAATTAAGTACTATAAAGGAATAAAAAATTATGAAAATATGACATAATTTATTTTAAAAATACATATTACCGCACAAACCCACCGCAGGACAATACAAGGCAGTAAAATCAACAATTCAAAATTTCAAACACTTGTGATTAAGTACGATTTGAGTTTTCTTTTAAAGGTATTCATTGAACTAAGTGCTTTTATTTCTAGTGGCAGATTATTCCAGATAACAGGAGCATGATGTCTAAAAGAGAATAGTGAGTAATTTTTAATTAACAGTCCATAGATGATATTTATTTCTGCTTCATGTATTATGATCATGAACAGTTGTATTAGAAGTAAGCATTGATGATAATGATTTATGGAGCATATTCTGCTTATGTTTAAAAATTAATATTGGACAGTAGTAAGAGATGAGTTGAAACACAGTGAGAACATTAATTTAACAAATAATTCTTGAGTATGGGCTTGTCTCCAAGAAAATGAACATATACGAAGAGCTCTCTTCTGTAATAAGTACAATGGTTGTAATTTTGTTGGATATGTGTTTACCCACACTACATTACAATAAGATAAATAAGGCAAGACTAAGGTATTATACAAAGTAATAAGAATACATTGAGGGAAGAATTTGCTAAGTTTGCGGATAACATCAACATTTTGGGATACTTTGTTTGTTGCATCTGTTATATGGTTATTCCATGTAAGTTTTTCATCAATGAAGACGCCTAAGAATTTTGTGTGACTTACACGCTTTATAACTTGATTATTCATTTTTATATCCAATAATTCTATGTTTTTCATAGTATTTTTAACATAGATATATATATAATTTGATTTTTTCCATATTTAAGGGTAATTTGTTATAATAAAACCATTCAGATAACTTCTGCATTTCAAAGTTGAGAATATTATTCAAAGATTGTAAAGAATCATGAGAAACTAAAATGTTGGTGCCATCCGCAAAGAGTACAAATCTCAACTTATTTGAACAGTTTGGAAGATCTTTAACAAATATCAAGAATAAAAGTGGCCCAAGTATAGATCCCTGGGGCACACCGCATATAACATTTAAAGGCTCGGATAAAACATTATTGTAAGGAACATATTGAGACGGTTAGATAAGTAGTTTTGAAACCAGAGTAGAGGGAGACCCCTTATTCCATAAAATCCCGCATACAGCGTTCCCATTATCATATAATAGGCAAATTATTCTTTTTACTACCAAGTACCTCTTACTTATTAAAAACAAACAACTGGTTTCTCAAAAAAAAACTTTATAAATGTATCTACATCTTTTTTTTTTCATGAATAAGTGTTTTAAAATGGGAAGGAATTAAAGGTCTTTCGAATTTGTTTTACATGTTTTATATATTCATTATATCTGCACTTTATTACTTGACAAACTTAATAATAAGACACATAATACATTTTGCTAAAATTGATACATTACTCTTCTTAAATTAACTTCATGGTATTGAATACGTCCTGTCAGGTCACATTCTGAAAGTTTGTTTGAGTACAAGTCACTTTATAATCAATCTAATCCTCGAATATAATATTAAGTCACCTCGATTATAAGCTTAACATATAGTACAAATGTCAGATTTTTCATGTAAGGCGTTAATATCTCTATTGCGTTATTACCTATCTTATTAAATCAAGCATTATACACACACAATTCCTTGCAAGTCAGTACCCAATTTGTCTCAGTCAATAATGGCTAATCAAATGTCAGACATTTTACATGTGGTGTATCACAAGGGTCTTTAGTAATTGATAGGGCAGTTTTAATTATCTATAATGTTATTATTATAATTATGTATTATTATTGCTGTATGTTTATTTTACGTTGTACCTAATTACTTTTATTTTTACTCGGGGTGCTGCCATTTATTTTATACATACATGATCTTAAAAGTACATCTTCCATCTTATTCTTAATATTATTTGCAGATGACACTATCATGTTTATCTCATCGTGACCCACAACTTCTACTAGATACTGTCAATTATAAGCTTACTTTCAAATTAATTTATGAACGGATCCAGGCAAACAAAGTCTCCTTGAATATTGACAAAAGCAATTGCATGTTATTTATCAATACTATTGACTCACTTGAGTGAATTATTCATACATGGGGCAGCCCTTGACTGTGTTCAATCTACACAATTTCTTGGAATATACATTGCCAAACAGATTATAGAAGTTTGTTTCCTCTTGCAAGTATATTGGCGTCGTTTTAAACGAACATTTAAGCTGGATCCTAGATATCAACGAAATAAGAAGGAATCTTAAGTTTCAGCTGTATATACTAATATAAGGCAAATTCGTCCAATTAATACACGACACTATTAAGCAGAATTGTTTTATAAATCCATCATACAATGTCATTTTGATGATTGTGATAATTATAAGAAAATATAGGGTTAACGTAATTAGGAAATCTACAAACTTTACACATTAAAGTACTGATAAATGTTAAAAGGAAAGACTCCAGATTGTATTCGGATTTAGTTTTTTTTACTTTTGAATTTAGATACAATTTTTGTTAAATTAATAATGATCAAGCAAATTTTATATAATAATACACAAAAACCCATTTTACGTTTATTGAAAAGCACAGCCTCATGTATAGTACCAGATACTCGACCCAGAATTTCTCAGTACAATAGTGCCTAACAAACTAATCAATACCAGAATACACTTTTAGAGGAAGTGAAAACAATCAAGAATATATTTATCTTAAATAAAAGACATCGTGTTTTCTATCTGGGGGGGGGGGGGGCGATGCTTACCATTGGGAGGAGAGAGTAAACATCATGGGTATATTATTTAGTTTGATTTGTTATTGTTAATTTGCATTTTTGTCAATATTGTAATTACAAATATTAAAAAAGGGTTTATACTATAAAATGCCTATACTTTTTTTTTTTTTTACTTTGTTTTGATTTGAAGTATTTATTTAGTTTTTTGATCTCGTTTAGTTAGCTTGTGTAACCGGCTTTTGTTTTTACTATAATTCGTATATTTTCATTTAGTTCACGAAAACAACCGTTCAGGCTGAAGCGACTTACCGTTGTTAAATAAATAACTGATATGAAATGATAGGTAAACAAAATATTGACAGTTTACTTACCTGTAGATGAAAACGGCACAGTGTGTCAAGTCCGATGATGGATCGAAACGGGTAATGGAGCTGGCTTCAAGTAGCTCCCAGTCATCTAAAATATGCAGAAAAGCGATTTCATTTAGGGGGTACATTTCAACGCCATTATGTCATGGAAACAACTTTAGAAAGGTAAATCTAACATAAATTTCGTCAGGTACAAATACAAACAAAAATTAACTTAAATTAATAAGAGGAAAAACTTATGCATACCATTACATAAAAACCCGAAATTGGAACTGTCGTAATTCATTATCATAATTCAAATTCGCCAAAGTTAGAAAACCTATTGGAACAGACTAAAACATCGAAAATGTCGGATGAGGGGGACACGCTCCGACCGAGATTCGCCTGTCGTTATTTATGTAAAACACAAGACTTTAATAACAAGTCTAGCCTCACCAAATCTAATGTGTTGACACCTCTTTCGCTGTCAATCAAATACGGCCCCCCCCCCCTTTCGCTCCTAAAACAAATTACTATTAAAACAAATACTATACTACTACTACTACTACTACTATTACTACTACTCCTACCTCTTCTTCTCCTTTTGTTAAATTACTACTACTTCTTTTGATATTTCTACTACTACGTCTAATGCTTTTACTACTACCACTAATTCTACTACTGCTAATAAAGTTTTTTTTTTAAATACCAATAACACAATCAACAACACTTTACGGAATAGCATGAAGAGTTCATTAGCGACAAATAGAGCATCACATTCAGCGCTTAATACTTTTCTGTTCAAATTGAAGTTTATGTCCCTTTGCCCCCGAAACCCTGCCTGGGAAAATGAAAAATGAATGGTAACAATCTGGCCAACATTGCTAAAGTACGTTGGTTTAGAAACTTCAAAATGTTATTCTAGTCAAACCAATGGTGCGAAATGGGAAATACGTTGAATTTACAAGGCCGTATCAAAAACAAAATCTGATACTTTGAGGATCTTTGCAATGTTTTTCTATCAAGTTGAGCAAATATGTATCGGTTGCTTTATGTCATATTTGGTATTTGATGCAGCACGTCGAGAGAACGCTTGAATTATTTTTAAAGTTTATATTTTACTCAGGATAGCTTTAAATTGTATATGCGTGGTGATCTCCGAACTTTCGAACACATGCTAAATGAACAATTCAATGATCGTTGTGGTGCTTAAAATCGAACCAGAAGAGTTGTAAAGGCTATATTTTCTAGTGCTTATATCTTATCCATAGGGGCATCCACATATATCAACATTTTAATGATTTACTATCAATCCAATTTTCAAAATTTCGCAGAAAGCTTTGCATTACCTTTAACCCTATTTTAACTGGGCTATTTCAGACCAAGTTTTTACTGGGGGGGGGTCCATTTGACCCCCCCCCCCTAAGATCTCGGTCGTTTTACATCCGATCGCCGCTTAAATGTGCATGCTTGTCAAGTGAAGTGTATATAATTTCAATTTTTTTTGAAAAATTCACTCGTTTGCATATGTATGGTAATTTATGCAAATAAGGTCATAAAATTCACATTTTTACCCATCAATCATATTGGTTCATATTTAAGCATTCTTTTTCACTACATATATTCGCTAGACCATTTGGAATTATTATACGACAATAACAATTGGGAAGAGCTAGGTTATTTCTTATGTTATCTCTTGTTTTGATTATTCCTTATGTGTTTCATTGTTTTTTAAACTTATTTCACTTTTAACCAATACTACATAACCAATGTTTTATATCTTTTTAGGAAAAATGATATGTCCATATGTTTTGTAAACATATCACCAAAATGAGCGATTTTCGTGATGAAATGCTAAGATAAAAGGTCATGTGACTTTGTAACTGTACGTCCGATTTTCAAACAAATTGTTTTAAAAGATGCGTAAGACTCGAAAGAAATAAGTCACAATAAGAGAACTTTATACCTGCCGCGATTGCGGAGTAGTCGCTAAATTACTACAGGGGGGGGGGGGTCAAATTGACCCCCACCCCCAGGTTATCATAGGGTTCCTTTTTTCACATGTAATTTTGAATTAATAAATGCAATACAAACTTATACTGTGAAGATGTGTTTATTGTTCATGAATATAAATTTTGTTAATATGCTATGCTTTGTTAATGTATTGTTTTATGAAACAAAAAAAACATGACTAAAACTAAGATCATATACAAAATATGGGAGGAGATAGGGTCGCTGAAAGGTGATATCGGGTAGTTTTAGAACGCTAAAGCTCAAGAATAAATGTTGGATGCCTCTAGATTACCTGATTCACAATATGGACACAGTTTACCTACGTTAAGAATGACATAAACAATTTCACGAAACAAACACCAGCAGGTAATACTCTCACAACCTAGGTTACAACGTTGAAACAGGATCATACTATCCCTATAATGTAATCCTGAATTTTCAAAAACACAATATGTTTGTGTAACAGGGTTCTTAGGGAGTAGTTGTCCTAGGGGAAAATTTTCCAGGGGCAATTGTCCTAGGGGTGGTTGTCTCTAGGGGGATTATCCGGAGGGAATTTTCCGGGGGGGGGAATTGTCATTTGGGGTAATTTTCTCGGGGGGGGGGGGTTGCCTATGGTGTAATTATGCTGATTCTTCAAATCACCTGTTTGTGTAATACTCACCTGATTTCTGCTGGAAAATTAGAAAATCTCCCTCATCTTTCAAATCATCTTCACTAAGAGTCTTCAAAAGGGTATTGCTTGTGGACCCCTCAGCGCAGATGATGAGATCAACATGGATCTTGTCTTTGCCGTTTTTCACATCGATTCCTGCACATTTCTCTTTCTTAGCTTTAATTGTCCTAGTCTCTTTGTTGCTGTTATTTTCACTAAGTTCTGTGGTCGCCTTGGAAGGTTTTTCCTCCACTTTACGAACTTTAGGTCGGTCCGGCAAAAGTCTCACGAAGGACAGCATTGTTTCGGCCACATGGTCATCATTCATAGGATCCCCAGCTCCACAGAACAGGACATGGGCTGAACACTCAATTACAGTGGGTTGTTTCTTCTTGAAACTTTCCTCGCGGTCTTTGTTTCTCTCCGCCCCAGTAACAATGACTACAACACGATCACTACCTGCAGAAATGAATGGCAACATATGTGAATCGATCATTTATAACTTGTACACATTGAAAGATTGCAACCTAAATGTACTACTAATTGAACTCTGCCTAATTTGTGTGAAAAACATGTACCGTCACTCAATAAAATGTAATGTTTGTAATGTAGGTAAAACAATCCGTCTTATTAACAAATGGTTTCGTCCCATTTACCAAACGCTGTGTTTTAGAAAGTGTGCTGCAAATTTGTTTGTATACGAATAAATATTATCACAAGTGGTTGTACGCAATGCTGGCGTTCGAAATCAGCCGGTGTCACGACGAGGTGTCTCTGCGTGAAACCCTGTCTGTAAGACAAATCTCGCCTGGTGGTATAAGTCTAGCAAACGCATCTAGCGATTCTACAGGCGAGAGATGTCTCCAAGATTGGCGTTATAACTCTCTAATTTGCCAAAAGTGTCCACTGGTCAATTAACGTAATTTTGATAACAAAAAGGAACCAAATCATACTCATCAAATTGTAGAGAATATTATGAAACTTACAATTTGTTTTCAACCCTATGCCCCCTCCCTCTCGCCTCCCCCTAATGAATCCGTAAATGTACAAAGCTGATTGACTTAACAAATTGAGTAAGATGTAAATGTAAATGTTAATGTATTCCTTATCATGCTCACAACAATTATTCACGTTTTTTGTTTCCAGAAATTTTTACATATTTCATTTTTTGTCATAACACGGCGATATTTGAATTATTGAAGTGTAATGTAAAATATGTGAATTGTAATATATTCCTAATCATACTCATGGCAATTATTCAACCGACACAGCTATAACATTATTAACATCAGTATGTATATTCACAATACAAGTCTGAATTCTTAGAATGGGCACGCGGAAATTGGGTGTTACGTCCAGATACATCTATCAGCGCTATATATATATATATATATATATGTAATTATATACCTCACTTAAGAAATCCAGCCATCTGATTGGTCGAATTGCATTCATAAACTTCAACTGTTCCTGTAAAATTCCCGGTAACCATGCTTAAAACATTTCAATATTTTTAATAACCATGGTTATTAAAAAAATAGGTCAGTCTCCATGGTTTCCCCATAGGTTTACATGTTAAAAAATGGTTTGAGCGATGGAGGATACCATACGTGTGCGAAAAATTGGTCGGCAATTTCAATACAATTGAATCTCGATCGATCTTACCGACAATTTTATCTTGCATTGTTGACATGAAGACGAAAATTAACTCTCAAAAACAAAAAAACAACATCTGCCGATAGATCTTGATCTATTAAAGTTCGTGCCAATATGCATTGCAAAAGTAAAAGAAGGGTCCGTTTCATGGAGCTTTTGCGAAGCATCCCTCACGCGGAGCCGTTTTCAATCCATTTTAATGTATATATTGGAGAAAACTGCCAAGCATGTTAACGGCGCGCGATAGCCGAGTGGTCTAAGCGTTGGTTTTCAATACACCTCTTGTTGTACGCAAGAGTTCGAATCCCGTCTTCGACAAAAATGTAAATTATTTTTTATTTTTTATTTTTTAGTCTATTTTTTTTCGGCATATAAAAGTATTAATGACTGCTTTAATATTCGAGAAATAGTTGTTTTCATACGCTCTCGGGAAGGTTACAATTGGGCTATTCCCCTCGGCAAGCCTCGGGGAATAGCACAATTCTAACCTTCCCTTTAGCGTAATAAAACAACTATTTCTCTCAAAGCAGTCATTAATACTATACTATTGTAGGTTTACCATGTGTTAGTAGTTGTGCACATTATGGATGCGGTACGAGTGTACTTCAAAACGTGGTTTACCCTAAACGATTGACGGTTAATGAAAGAAAGACATTCCAAACTAGTCACTTACAAAATTAATTCTTAATTTTAAATTTGAATATAATGAGCTGTTTCAATACAATGATGTTTCATCATTTCATTACTTACTGTTTTGGGTCCAATTCAAATATTGAGCTTTAATTTCTGAGTTAGATGTCATTAATATTGTTTATTATCTTACTTGAATCGTGAGGTGCTCAACTTGCTACCTACAGGAAAAAATGTCATAAAACCATGACATCCTTAAAACAAAATGTAAGATATGCGAAATACACTATAATATGAAATACTGGATTGTGCTGCTTCCAATTGAAACCATCTACATTTATCCTACCCACCAACCCACAAGCCTTTCCAAGCACATGAACACACAAGTATTATACAGTAAATATGTAATAAAATTTTCAATTTAATTCGCTTATTTACTACATTATGTGCTAATTTGAATCGCATGGGCTGTTTCGATACAAACTTGCTACTCCATATCATGTACATTATTAATTTTTCACTGTCTGTTCCTATATGTTATGGGTTTTAGTGCAACGAGTCATTACAAGTTTTGACATATCTAACCCAAAGCTTGAATGACACTACCTGCTACCTACAGAAAATGTATATGGAATAATGATAAGGACCATGACAATCTTGCAAAGAATTTGATGGAATATAATACCAAACAAGCTATATTGTAATACTGAATTGAACAGCTCGTATACAGTGTATACAAAGTATCTTTCAGGGGCGCATACACAACTTAAAAAATTAAAACTACTTTAAAAGACCATGCTCGTGTGCGCCAGTGATGGATGTTTTGGGTAAATTCAAGGTATTTTTTACTGTAATGGTTTTGTATAACTTTCTTGTCCTTTCATTATTGTTATTTGTTCTTATATATATTGGTTTTGTGTTTGTTTGTCTAATTATTACCAATGACTTATAAATACGTAATTTGTATATGATTGAAAAATTAATAAACACACAAATATTAAAAAAGAAAGAAAAAAGAATTGTACTGCTCCACCTCAGACACCGCAAGACCACTTCACCCCAACCAATACTCTTTCCAGCGCACAAACACATAAGTATGAAATTCTCACTCCAACTCATTACCGTTCCATACTTAATAAAACGGTAAAATTTCTGTAGAATTAGGGCCCAACTGGACCTCCCTTGTAGGTACCCCGTGCACCTTCATTAAATAGTAGTCCCAATGGTGAGGGAGCGTCTTTCAAAGTGAGGCAACAAAAGGGGCACTTTCTGGTTAAAAATTACCGTGGATCTAACACAGATCTTTTGAAATTGTATAACTTGGCTGCAATTATTAGCAGTGCTAATACATTTCCTAATCTAAATTCTTCATTTGGTCTACATAATTTGATAACATTTCAAGCTCGTGTAGCAGCCAATACTGCAATATTAATTGACAATATATTTATAAATGTTAATCATTCCGGATGCGCGAGTGAAACCATTAATTTGTACTGATGTTTTGATTACCTGTCACATTAGTTCTTCACGATATTTTCAAACAGATCCGTAGCAAAATATGTGAAAATAAATAGAATCTGACAAAAGTTCCAACTAATTGATGAAAAGAAGAAACAACATTATTTAATTCTTAGCTAAACAGGGTAAACTCGGTAGACATGTGATTTGAATAAATAAATGAAAAAATAAAGTAAAACGGTGACAGGACGCACCGTTTTGAAAAGTACGTTTTTTCATTTTTTCACCCTTTTTTACTTTTGAATTCACGTTGATCTTTAATTCTCATCAAAATAATGTCATCAGTTTTATTTCTCATTCAGGAATCTAAGATGGCCTCCAAGATGGTGACTGTTTAACTTATCGGAAAGTGTTGTAGGTCATTCACTAGAGAAAAAGTAAAAGTGGTATGGTCTAGTGGATAAGTCATCCGACTGCAGATCACAAGGTACGGGATTCAAATCCCAGCCCGGCAATAACGTCCTTTGGCAAGACGTTAATCTACATTAACCACTCTCCACCAGCAGTTAAATTGGTACCCGGTAGGATGCGAAAATTAAAGTAGTTTGCTCAGCATTGAGAGCGTCTGTAAAATAACGCCTGGCTGGAATGCTCCGCAGGGAGTGAAGAATGTGCATAGATTGTGTGCGGGCAAGCCTGAATCCGATGACCGGATTAATGATATATTTGTAAAGCGCTTAGAGAAAGTATGTATTAAGCGCTATATAAAAGCGGAATTTTATTATTATTATTAATACCAAAACAAATTGTTAAAATAAATTTGTATTATATCATATCATATTATCTGAGTTTATATTTACTGGGTTCATAAAGTCAACCTATATCGATGAAAGTAAATACAACAATATCTTTCTTCTTGTTTCCTTTAATCTAAAAGAACACCTTCACCGTCTCTCCCGTCACATTAGGTCTATGTCGTAAAGTCTATAAAAAACCTACTTCCATGACTGCCTTGCTCAAAAAACATCGTGATTAATCGTGGGGTACTTACCGAGGAGACTCTTCCAGTGAAGGAGAAGTTTTTCATAGCGTGCATCTCTTACGTCTGTTAAGGACATTCTGCCCTGGTAGACTGAATGAATCAATATCACACCATCATATTGAGAGAAATCGTGTCCACTTTCCAATATTCTACTTGTTATTTGTACGTACTTTACGCATACTCTACACTGTTCTTCCAAAACCGATATTAAGGATTTAAAATCGGTGTCAGATCGGGCTAAAGAACAAACTGCAACCGTGCTTTTTCCAGCCATTGTACGACGTAAAATGAAGCTCAACCACGTCAGATCACTGCGACATATTATATCGTCAAATAGATGTGGGAAGTCCTAGGAAAGGGGCGGGTC